TAATCTATGAATCTATGAATCTATGAATCTATTTCCAGTTAGATGATCATAGAAAAATGCTAATAGATTCATAGTCATAGGTTGTTAAGGGCTAGAAGGGACCTTGCAGATCATCGGGTCCAGCCCCCCTGCTTTAGGCAGGAAGACAACTGGAGTTAGGTGACCCCAGCGAGGTGAATGTCCAGTCTCCTCTTGAAAACCCCCAGGGTAAGTGACTGCACCACCTCTGGAGGGGGTTTATTCCACAGTCTGGACACCCTGACTATGAAGCAGTTTTTCCAGGTATTAAGCCTGAAGCGGCCTTCCAGGAGTTTGTATCCATTGGTCCTGGCCTTCCCCTGGGATGCACTAATGAATGGTTGTTCACCGAGCTCCTGATACACACCTCTGATATAGCAGTAAGCCACTATTAAGTCCCCTCTCAATCTTCTCTTCTTTAGGCTAAAGAGGCCCAGGTCCCTCAGCTTTTCCTCATATGGCTTGCCCCGCAAGTCCCTGATCATATAGACAGCTCTTTTATGGACGCTCTCAAGTTTTTCCACATCCTTATTGAAGTGCAGCACCCAGAACTGGACACAGTACTCCAACTGAAATTTCACCAGTGCTGAGCATGCTAGGAGTATCACTTTCTTAGTTTTATATGAAATGCATCAGTCGATGAATGCCAGCATGTTATTTCACCTGCTGACTACCGCCCTGCACTGATGACTCATATTCACGTGATTGTGAATATGAGTCATCATGATCATTACCCCTAGGTCCCTTTTGGCTGTGGTGTAAGTCAAGCTGTCACCACTGAGCTTGTATGTCGAGGGTTGTTTGCCCCCAGATGGAGCACCTTACACTTGGAAGTGTTAAACTTCATCTGGTTCTAGTCTGTCCAACTCTCGAGCCTGTCCAGGTTTGCCTGTATCTGCAATGCCTGACTTAAGCACAGAACTATCTGAGGGCAAGACTTCTGAGAGCAGATGTCTTCAATCTAGTAGACAAAAGCATGACCCAAGCTGATAAACCAGGCAAGCTCACATAGCAGACAGAACACACATTTTTAACAGTGAGAGTAATTAACTATCACAGCACCTTTCCAAGATGGAAAGTGGTAGATTCTCCATCACTTGAAGCCTTTCTAAATAATATCCTTGTGATAGGGACCTATTGCAAAGCCGGATCTCGATGCTGGCCTGCCCACCTGTCTAGGGGCAGTCTACCCTGTCTCACCTGCCATGATTTGGTGAATAAATAACTGGTGTAAAATGCAGGAAGCTGCCCATTTAGTGCCCTGATGCCTAGGGCATTGTACACATCTCCAACCTCCCCTGTACTATCTCCCATGCCTTGCAAAGGCATCATAATTTGGTTATAGCACTAGCCCAGGGCCAGGCCAAACTCTGCCCCTTGTACAGCCTCTCACATTCGACTCAAACACGCTGCCCTTCACAGGGTCTCTTTCATACCACCCCCTCTCTCAGGGCCTCTTTCATACTGCCTCTCACTGGGCCAGTCACAACCCTCCCCGCTCCATGAGCAGCCCCCTCAGGTCATCATTCCTACCTACTCTCACTCCAGCCAGTCCACATGCAGCCCCTTGGGTTGCTTGAGCAACCCTACTCTATACAGCATTGGCCTTATGCCTCACACTGGGCTGAACCAGGCCTGTGTGCTGTCCTTCAGACCACCTCTGCAACCCTATTCAACACACCCCTGGTTCAGCCTTTCAGATTGCCCTTGCAACTCTAGTCTACACCCACTTACGCACAGTCCTTCAGGCTGCAACAGCGCACCCTAGTCTGTGTGGGCCACCACACATACTTCTGTCCCCTCACTGGGGCCACTATACTTCTCTTCCCCCTCACCGGGGCCTCCGGGGTCTTACACCCCATGGAGCTCAGGTGTCCCCAGACATGCCTGGTCCCCGAGCCTGTCCCTAGATCTGGGTAACCCATGAAGATGTGGGGGCTGGGGTTATAAAGTGTCCCTACCCTCCTTTCACCGAGGAGGCAACTGGCCTGGCATTTCTGTGGAACTACCCTGCCACTGGCAGTCCCACCAAACCATCCTTCCTCAGCAGCGTGTAGTTTTAAGTTATGCCCCAGGACTAGGAGCCTCCTGTCATCCCCACAGCTCCTGCCCTTACCTCCAAGGATGTTGTGAGCAGCAACTACAGCCGGGTGGGGTCCTGTCCATGGCTGCAGCCAGTAAACTGCTGGCTCCCCTGATGGCCTGAACTAAAATTCAGGCTGTTCAGCCCCTTCCTCCTATCACAATGCCCTCCAGAAATCATGTGATTGCCTCATCAGGACTGGCCTGCTCCTGCTGCCTGCCTTTACAGTGGCAGGCACCAAATGTGCTCTGCTATAATCCTCTAGTCCAGCTCGAGGTTATTCAGCTTAATGCAGGAACTACTGCCTGAAAACCTACAGTGTGTGCAATATAGAAGGTTGGACTAGATTTTCCTGAAGGTCTCTGGTGGTTAAAACTTCCATATGAGACTTGTCCTTTTGATGTTACCTGGCCTGGTCCACTGTGCAACATTTCATATCTGACTGGGAGATTGTGGCCCAAAGGTCTGTGAGGTATCTGAGCATTTCCAAACTAAATAGGTCTAAATGCTGGCCTCTAAGTGAGAGGTCATGGAAGATATCACTATTGACTTGATTTTGACTTTCTTTCCAGAAACTGGGGATAATTAAAAGAGTTTGGTTAATATAAAGCATTTCTGCCTCAAGAGTAATGTGCCAGTGACTCTCACAGCCCCTCATTTATATTTATAGTTTCATAGTTTCTAGGGTCAGAAGGGACCTGAGCAGATCATCTAGTCCGACCCCCTGCCATGGCAGGAAGAGCACTGGGGTCAAACAACCCCAGTAAGGTGGTCATCCAACCTCCTCTTAAAAACCCCCAGGGTGGGAGCCTGCACCACCTCACTTGGAAGCTGGTTCCAGACTCTAGCTGCCCTGACCGTGAAGTAGCGCCTCCTGATGTCCAACTTAAACCTTCCCTCCGCCAGCTTGTGACCATTGTTCCTGGTCACTCCTTGCGGCGCTCGGGGGAACAGGGACTCCCCCAGCGCCTGCTGATCCC